GGTCAGAGGAAGGGAGACAGAAGTCAAGTGTACTGACCCTCACTGAGAACCAGATTTAGGGTGAGTAGTATTGCTGTCTCCTTTCAGTATGCTCTGCTGATGGATTTGTAACAGGCTGGTTGTTTGCATTGAATATATTCAAGGAGAGTGCTTAACAATGCTCCTCCAAAGTATCTTGAACTAGAATATTCCCATTGGACATGAATACTGGGGGGGGGAGCTTTGCAAACTAGTGTTGAGTTTTTCAAGAAAATAAAGCTAGAGGATATCGTTATCCACGGCTTTAAAAGTTCTGAAATCTTACATTCGTTATAAAGGACGGAAGGGAGTCACTGGTGGTCTTTAAGAGAATAGGAGGAACACAGCATCTGAAAAATCCACAGTTCCAACTGCAGCCCCCTTCCTCTAATTGTGCATATTTGATGGCTGCTTGTTTATAAAAGAGCTAAGGAATTCCACACAATGCAGTATTTTTTCTAACTCAAAGGAAGCATAAAATAGCATGCTGACCTAGCCTGCAGAGTAATCTGGATAAACTTTCTGTAATGATCTCCACCTTACTACTTTAGAGCCCATTTCAGAAAGGTATTTAAATACAATCTCAACCTGAAGCTGCCAATTCTCTTAGGAGGAAGAAAAAAATGTATATGTCTTATTTGTATATTCACCGAACTGCTCTAAACCTACATGTCAGGTGATGAACTAGAACATTTATATGCACATATATGCACATATTTATATATATATGCACATATATGCACATATGCCCAACCTATGTGACTCTTCTGTCTCAGCACAGGGAACATAAGAACACAAGAACATAAGAAGAGCTCTACTGGATCAGACCAATGGTTTGTCTAGTCCAGCATCCTGTCTCACACAGTGGCCAACCAGTTCCTCTGGACGGCCAACAACAGGGCAAAGAGGCCAAGGTCTTCCCCTGATATTGCCTCCTGGCTCTGATACTCAGAGGATTAGCGACTCTGGTCAATATGACTAGTAGCCATTGATAGACTTATCCTCCATGAATCTACCCAATCCCCTTTTAAAGCTGTTTATTCCTGTGGCCACCACTACATCCTCTGGCAGTGAATGCCACATTTTAATCACTCTCTGTTTAAAGTAGTATTTCCTTATGTCCATCCTGAACCTACTGCCCATCAGCTTCACTGGATGCCCTCAAATCCTAGTATTTTGGGAGAGGGAGAAAAATGTCTCTGTCAGCTCTCTCTATCCCATGCATAGTTTTATCTATCATATTTCCCCTTAGTTGTCTCTTTTGTAAACTGAAAAGTCCCAGACTCTTCAGCCTTTCCTTATAGGAAAGGTACTCCAAACCCCTGATCATCTTAGTTGCCCTCCTCTGTACTTTTTCCAGCTCTGGAGGCCGCAGGGAGGGCCAGAGCCAGCAGAGGCCAGGTGAGGCGGCGATGGTCAGCCCAAGGCAACAGATGCTGGGGAAGGCAGCAAGAAGTGCCCCAGTGACATATACAGTTTAATAACCTACTATCTCACATCTGAGTTCCTTAAGAACTCTTGGGTGAATGCCATCAGGAGCTGGAGACTTATTGGCTTTTAATTTCCCTAGTAGGTCTAGAACTTCATCTCTGGTCACCTCAGTTTGACTCAGTTCTTCAGACTCCCATCCTGAAAATAGGGGCTTTTGCATGGGTTTTGACTTGCGTTGTTAATCACCCAGGCCTTCTTTTTGACTTGGCAGTGCCTTTCCTTACCTGTGGAATGCCTTCTATTTGGGCTTCAATTAGTGTGGTTTTAAATAGCTTCCAAGCATCCTCTAGAGATTTGACTCTCCTGTGTTTCTCCTTCAGCTTCCTTTTTACTATTCCCCTCATTTTTGTAAAGTTCCCTCTTTTGAAATCAAATGTTACAGTGTTGGACTTTGGGAGTAACTTTCCATTGACTTGAATGCTGAACTTAATAGCATTGCGGTCACTGTTCCCAACTGGTATAACAACCAGGTCTTGAGACCCACTCAGAACCAAGTTCAAGATCACTACCCCTCTGGTTGGCTCTGTGACCCAACTGTTCCAGTGCACAGTCATTTATGATGTCTAGGAATCTCATTTCTACAGCATGACTCAAGCACATGTTTAAACCTCAATGTGTACATGTGAGGGTAGTTCAACTCTCCAAGTATAATAACCTTACCTGCTCTAGTCACCTCCCTTATTTCCTTCTCCATCTCAAGATCAGCCTCCAGGGATTGATCAGGTGCATCCTCACTTACGGCCTATATTTCCACCCATATCACTTCTGTTGGGGAGAAAATTTCCCTGATATTTTCTAACCTATTGGATTCTATGCCTTCTTTGATGTACAACACAACACCTCCCCCAACCCATCCCTCCCGGTCCTCCCTATATAGCTTATACCCAGGAATGACTGTATCCCATAGTTTTTCCCCATTCACCATGTTTCTGAGATACCTACTATATCTAAATTGTCACTGAACACAAAGCACGCCAGCTCCCCCAGCTCATCTTGGCTTGGATACTTCTAGCAATCGTATATAGACACCTATAATGTGTTTCCCTCTCCAGTAACCCTTGCCTCCCTTGGACCCTTAGTCACCACACATGACCCTCAGTCACCATTGTGCCCTCACTCCCACATTCTATTATGCTCCTATCAATATTACCCTGAGTGTTTACGCAATCATCCCATTGGACTAACTTGTCCCAAACCAGAGGCTCCTCAGCCCGTCAGCTTCCCCCCCGGGGATTAGTTTAAAAGCTTCTCTGCCACCTTTTTGATATTAATCGCCAGCAGACTAGTTTCCTTTTGGTTCAAGTGAAGCCCGTCTCTTTTGTACAGGTTTGGCTTGTCCCTGAATGTTTCCCAGTGCCTAACAAATCTAAACTCTTCCTCCTGGCACCACTTCCTCATCCACACATTGAGAGCCTTGATCTGTGCCTGTCTAGCTGGCCCTGCCTGTGAGACCAGCAGCACTTCTGAGAATGCTACCTTTCAGGTCCTGGCCTTTAACTCTCTGCTCACTAACCTAATTTTTTTCCTCCAGGTCCACATGACTACATTTCCCAATGTCACTGGTACCAATGTACACCACATCTGCTGACTTCTCCCCGGCGCTATCAACCTATCTAGACAGCACATGATGTCCGCAGCCTTCACACCCGGCAGGCAAGTCACCATGTGGTCAAAACGCCTGTCATAGACCCCACTCTCTATGTTAGTATTACAGTTATCCATGATATTTTGTGGCTGGCTTTGCATCTTGTTGCAGCCATTTTGTGTCTGGCTCCACTGCCTGAAACAGCCATTTAGTTGTTGCACCCACTACCCTGTGTCAGAATTCCAAAAGCACCTGCAGGCTCAAAAAGGCTGTGGACCACTGATCTATAGTATTTCCTAATTTTGTTATCTAGTTTCCTAGCTGAGTAATTGGTAGACTGTCTTAGAACTAGGCTACCTAAGAAAAAATTTTTGTTTATAGTGCCCATCCTCCATATCTCCACCAGGGCTCTCAGTTAAGATGCAAACAGCCGTTGGTGCACTGGGGAGATTTGGTTGGTTATACAACTTGGGTGTTGGATGTCACTAGCGGCTCTCTGGTTTCTCATTGACCTAGGGATGCAAGGGTTTAATCTGGATACCAGGATGGATGGTTTCAAGTTCTTCCCTCCAGGAGACTCAACCAATCACTTTCAAATGGTGGACTGGAATGTTGAAAAGGGGGGGAAGGAGGTGTTAACTGCTGGCCAACTGACAGAGTTGAGAGTTGTTGGATTTTAGTGGGAGAAGGGTTAGGAGGTCTGCTAGTTAGGCAGAGAGTCCATTAGGGATTTCAAGTATTCTGAAGATAGATAGAGTTTGAGTGCTGTTCCTGTCAAAAACAGTTAAAAGCCTTTCTGTTCCATATTAAAAGTCTGAACCAGTCAGACAAGAAACCTGCACAGTAACTGTTACACTTTCTCAGGCCCAGCTTTCCAGGGGCTTTGTTAGTGTAACGCTGAAAGGGCTGGAGAAAACAAAGAAATAAGCTACACATACCACTGAAATAAACCTGTTCCTTAGTTGTTTTCATCAAGCCTGCTGTGTGGTTCCTTCATGCCTGTAATCTGCTCGTAATATGCCAAGTGAACACCTGGTACCACCCTGAATTCATTGCCCTCACTGAGGACCAGGAGACTAAGCAGTCTCAAAAGCTCACTTATAAAAGTTAAAATATAAAAAAGAAGTTTGTAGTGTCTGAAATTTAAGTCTCTAGGTTCTAGGTCTGCAGACGGAGTGTTACCACAGATACCTAATGGTAAGGGGCGGGGGAGTTAGTTCACAGGTTAAGCCACACTAGAAACCAATTGGATTTCCTGGAGACTATAAGTAATCCAGAAAACATGCAAATAACTATCTTGAGGTCTTTAAGGCAAACAAACTTATAAGATGCACAAAGGACTTCAGAACATGTAAGTTTAGCCCTTTTTTGACGGTCCCATTTAAGACAGAGACACTGAACCAGATCAAGTAATATTTTGCTTTCTTTTGTTTTTTCAGGTACTCGGTCTCTGATGCTATCTTTATTTAAAAACTGCTTTGCTAAATAAGCATATGCCCATGATCCATTAAAAGTGCACTCGTACTTTTTTAAAGAGACTCTCTAGACTCCTTTGTTTTGAGTTTTCTTCTAAACAATGTTAGGTCCACATTTTGCAAAGGGAACCCAATTTGAAGACCTTGAAGTTCTTCCTCAAAGCTTGTGCTTGGTTTTGGGACATCTCAGGACCTGGTGGCAGCAGGTGTTAGAGTCTAGTACCTTGGCAAGAAAGACTTGCCATCAAGCCATTTTGCTCAAGAATCCAAAATATCTTGATACAGTTTATTAAAAAACCGCCAACAGTAGCGCTAAATGTTCTAGAACAAACACTAACTTGCACAAAAAGACAGTGTCCTCCTAACAAAATTTATTTCATCTTTCTCTTGGATCATAAAGAAAAGTCAGTGTCAACAATATCCAGACTTACCTGTCCTAGATCTAAAGTGACATTTACTTCATCATACTTCAAACCTTGGGAGAGAGAAGGACTCTGCCACCAACGTTCTGTCCCATCCACAGCACTGGTTATTGGGTGGGCTTTATTGGGATCAGCAGCATTGCAATAGTCACAAAACTGGCCCTGAAATAGAAATTTTAAAAAGACATAAGAGTAAACATGACATGCCTGAGACTGATTTGTACTTAACCAGCATTAGATCAGACCAAAATGCTTCTGAAAGATCCAGTAGTTTACTGCCACTTCTTCTGGGATGTTCGGAAGAGACAAAGAGAACAGTTCCGTCATAGGTTGCACCCACTTCTACCCTCCTGCCCAGACTCATTAGACAGATGCCCTTCCGAAAAACAGAATCTGCGACATAACCAATACTTCTTTATTCAGTTTGGAGACAGATAGCAATAGTTTATTTCTCACAAAAGTGGTAGATGAGAAGTAGCTTACTCCTGATGTTATTTCTGCTGTTACCTACTGCTGTTTGGAAAAGGCAGGTGCAAACATAGCCAGGAAACAGAACCCAAGTGAGAAAATACAGCCAATGGCTGATTCAGAACTCTGTGCCTTCAACTGATAAAAGGTTCGCACTTCAGGATAGAACAAACCTGGTGACCACCAGAGGGGAAAGTTTATGTCCCATTCCAATGGTGTTTTTCCATGCATGCCTTCACCTACACCTGTCCCACACAGAAGGCTCCTATTTACTCCCCTGAAGGGGAAAATAAGCACCACACTTGCTGGGTTAGCCTCTGATGACATGGATCCCATGCACAGAGCAAGGAATCAAAGATTACTGCCTCCCTCTGTGATTGCAGGGAAGGGCCAGGGGTTTGCACTACTTCTCCCTGCAAACTAAAGGCATGGAAGGAAGGGAGGAGTGCTGTTTTTCAGGGTGTGCCAGAGGATGCAGTAACTGGGTGGGCGCAGCACTCTAAGTCTGAAAAATAAGCGCTGATCCCACCCTTTCCTTTGCATGCAGCCATGGTCTTTCCATATGGGGAGTAGAAGCAGCGAGTAAGATTTGGTAAAAAGAGGAAGACACTGGGACACTGGGTTTAGGAGCTGAGACAGGGGGCACGTGTCATTCCTCTAGGTCCAGTACAAACTTGTGACATGGTTCCACATGCACACACAAATGGCCGCATCCTATACATGAATCATGAAAGAAAAATAATATTTCATTCTGAAATAAAATAGACCATTCCATGGTAATGGTCTTTCAGCATAGCCTCCCAGACTTCTACCTTTCAGTAAAGAGTATTCATTCTGTTATACATAGATGCCCTGAATGGGACTCTCTAACCCTGGCACCCTATCCAACCTGTCAAACTTGATAAGATTGTAGCTTGTTACCAGTTATTAGGCTTTTAGGAGAATTGCTGCTACTTAACTAGGTCACTTGGTGTTCTGAAGACAAGGTTTAGTAATGTTTCTAACATGTACGTCAAAGCATTCTCCAGGAACAGAAAATATTTCAGTTATTTAAAGTACATTCCACAAGAGCTGCCAATAAAGGTGGCGGATGGAAGCTGAGGGAAAACAGGTCATTGGATAAAACCTTCCCCTTCACTTCACATTGGCAATAGCTGCAGACAAGCATTCCCCACTAGCTTATCTGATAGAGTACACATGCCTCAATTCCAGCAGACGAGGAACCATGTTTAAAATTTGGCTGGAATTCATCATCCAAGTATGTGTGCATGTCTTAATGATCACATCATCTGCATCTCCTAGAGTTTTCATGAGTATACAGCAAGATTCTGAGACCTATGGAAATATGGCCTAGACTCTTGTTGTCTAGACATTTTTCTTCCCAAACTTTGTGAAGTAGGAAACTTTAGTTTGAAAGCCAGAGTGGTATAATGGTTAGAGTACTGGAAAAGAATCTGGGAGGCCAGGATTCCAGTTCTCGCTCTGCCATGGAAACTTGCACAGCTACCTTGAGACAATCACTCTCTCTCAGCCTAACATACTTCACGGGGTTGATGTCGTGAGACTAAAATGAAGAAGAGGAGAATTATGTTATAAGCAGGAGAGAAGTAGGGTATGACTGCCTAGAAGCACAGCACTCCTGAATATCACAGTTCTAGAGGCTGTGACACACAGTCACGAAAGCTTACACTTTAAAGGTGTCACTGGACTCAAACTATACCCAGACTAGATTGCTGTCATTAGTAATCACACCAGCTGATGTAGAACATGGAAACCAGACTACTGCCAGTGTTACATCTTGTTTGGCTTCCAGTTTATTTCTGAGTCCAAGTGAAGGTGTTGTTTTGAACTTTAAATCTCTACATGATTTGGAAGCTCAATATCATACAGACTGCCTCTTTCTATATGAAGTAACCTGTGTTCCCTGGTTATTAGAGGACATGCCCTATGGTGGTGGTTGTTGTGGATATGGGTGACCAGCCTTCTCAGTTGTGTGCCCAGGCTTTGGAATTCCAGGCCTCAGGAGGCCCCTCTATCCCTCTCCCTGCCCACCTTCAGGCATCAGATCAAGGCATAGCTATTTCACCATATCTTTGGCCTCCTTCTCTCTGCTATAATTGTATGCAAACTTACTATGTTTTACATTTTTAAATTAAGGATAGTTATTTTAATTTGGCTGTTACTGATTTTCATTATTAATTATCATCTTGGGGAACTTGGGTTGCATTTTTTCCCTAATTTTTGTAATCCAGTTGTTCCATTGTTTGTGGTATATTTTATACCGCTTTTCTTTATTGCATTGTTTTTCTAATTTTTGTAATCCACCTCGAGTCCTAGCAAGAAAGGCAAACTGTAAGTAATTAAATAAATGAGAAATGGAAAGGCAGATGATATGCATTCCTCTCAGGGTGTATCTCTTGATAATGCTTCATAACTAAGAAAAAAGGGATCATCCCAAATAGTCCCTTCACCTTGGCTTCTAAAACTTTATCAGGTAGGAGCAGGGGTCATTTTGTAGAAAAAGAAATGCAGGAGCTTATTAGCATAAGGTATGCTAATGAGCTACTAGACTATTAGCACAATAGGTGATTAGCATATGCCACGCCCCCTGACATCACCGGAAGTGGTGTCAGACGGGGAAGCAAAAGGGGGGGAGGCATCTTCAAAAGCCTCCACTTCCCTTCCCCAACCAGCCTCACTAGAGTTGGGCCGCAGAAGGAGGAAAGAGGGAAGGAAAGAGAGGGAGAGAGAGTAGAGAGAAGCCATTCCTGCAGGGAAAACACAGGCGCTGCACTATTCCGTTGCCCAGACGTGACGTAGAAGGAGGAAAGAGAGAAAGGAAGGAAGGAAGAAAAGGGTAAGAGAGAAAGAAAAGGAAAGGAGAGAAGGAAAGGAGGGAAAGAAAGAGGGCAATTAGATGGGGAGAGGGAGGGAGGCTTTCTCACCACCACCACCCCCGCAGATTCCCTCACTTACCACGATCAAGGCCTTCTCCAGGCCACAGAGCTCTGGCACGGGCCCCAGGAAGCCGGCAACGGGCCTCCTCAGGCCTCCCCTGAGCTGCAGCGCTCCAACGTGGGCCCAGGGAGGCCGGCAACGGGCCTCCTCAGATCTCCCACAGGCCGCAGCGCTCCAGTGGGGGCCCAGGGAGGCCGGCGACGGGCCACCTCAGGCCTCCCCCTGGCTGCAGCGCAGGGAGTGGGGCTTGCCACCACCACCATTTGTGCCAGCTCCTGGGCTTCCGGAGTGATGTTCTGGCACACTCCGGCCCCAAATGACCCCTGGGTAGGAGACAGAAAGATTTTGCAAAATCAATGCAGGAAAATTAAAAAGCGCTCGGATTTATTAGGGAAAATAGACTGCATTTCACAAGTGGAAGATAGTGCAGACTTTTTGGAGAGTACTAGATGTTAATAAGAATGCATAGTATGCTTGGTGATTAATTATAAGTGCTCTGAACTCCAGAACGCAGCAAGATTACAGGCAGATTCCCAAGATTTGGGGATTTTCCACCAAGCTCAGCTACCAGGTACTGCAGCCAACACTTCCACAATTACCAATGAGAATGCTATTCTAATGAAGTAAAGAGATGTAAATTAAGAGAAAATGTTTGTGCAGAAATGATAAGCAGTGATCTTTCAAAGGAAATATGCAGTTCCATACCCATCTTATAGAAAACTTAAGATCCTGAAAGTATGGTTAAAGATTTGTGCACACATATATGCTGCTGCTGGTTAGTACTGAGTGGAAGCCGTCATGGACCTATGACCCCAAATGCTGTTCTTCAAGTAGAGTCAGGACATTTTCATATCCAACATAAACATAATTAATAATCATATTGGTCTTCCTCGATGGTCTCCCATCCAAGTACAAATTATGGCCTACCCTGCTTAGCTTCCAAGCTAAGAACAGGCTATTCAAGATGCTTAGCATAAACATGATCTTTGTAGCTGTAGGAATTTGGAAGTTTTGAATACCTAAGAGTTCTCCTTGGGATACCTGAGTACTATGAGCCTGTCAGACCATTTATATCCATTTAAAGTTATATCCATTAAAGTTATATCCATTAAAGTTCTCACTGATGGCAAATACATTTCAAGAAATGAAGACAAGACTCATATACATGCCTCTGAAGCACCATAGGACTATGGCAAAGCAAGCACAGCACTGCACCTTAAGCTGGAATTTCCAGCTGCAGGTGCTATAATCCATCTTGCCCTTATGTTACCTGAAATTTCCACAGGTTTTGTCTTTCTCTGCCCTTTTATACCAGGTACATTAATATATGTGGGCATGTCTGTTGCAACCTTCTCCTATTTCTCTGAATTCATGTTCATGAGGGCAGGGGGGTTGAACCACAAAATGCTATTCCACAACGAAGTTCCTCTGCGCTAGAGAGAGGTGTTACATATATATTGTACTATCACATTTTCCAGAGCTGATTTCCTTGGCTTTTGAAAGAATTTGGAACTCCTCTTGAAGCAGAATGTCTGGTAAACTGCAGAAGTATTCATGCTATGCGTCTCAATGAGGCTTTGTTAGAAACTGGAGAGGGACAGCGCTACTGCATTCACATTTAGACAAATACTGTACGCAGCACAGCATGTTTCCTTGTGCCAGGGCAGATCTATCAGTAATCCTTCCACGAACTTGGATTAGACACAAAACACAGCTGACCTCTCTACTGGAATCTAAGACAAATATTAAACAAGAGGAGTCCTCTGGTTCTCCGTTACCCTCATACAAACAAAAGAATTATATTCATTTATCCTTAAGTCACATAATAATAATTTCATAAATTAAAAAAATAAAAATAGTGGTCTTCAAACTGCATCCTTGGCTTAGTTCATGTGTTTTGTTTCTTAGATTATTGTAATGATTTTTAAACCCTCTTACCCTGAAATCCTAAATGGAGTTACACTCTTCTAAGACTACTGACTTCAGTGGACATAGTAGGGTGTAACTCTGCTTGGGACTCCTCCACTAATGTTAAAACATGATAGTCTGCAGCTAGAAATTTGCCCCTTGGAATACAATAACCTTAGTAAACTTTGCTTCCTATACCACCACCAATCTCCTGCAGAGCACATAAATACTACTTGGAAAATCATCTCCGACAAGGTTTGCCTTCTCCCCTGGAAAACAAAGACAACTGAAGCTCTTTTATGTCTATTAGTTCATTTAAACATATATCGAGGTAAAATTGTCCATTCATTAGCACCGAGAATGAGTTACAGATAGAAATCAAACACATACATAGCAAATTGGCTAATTTAGAACTGGCCTGGCAACCAACTTGCATCATTCCTCACCAGGCTAGTGTAATGCAGAACTAATGTTCTATATTATATGGCATTGCTTTTATTAAAATCTGTTTATCTGGTACATTATTATCCCTTCTATATTATATGGCATTGCTTTTATTACAATCTGTTTATCTGGTACATTATCATCCCACTCACTCCAAAGAGCCTAAGGCAGCATACATGGCTCTTCTGTTCCTCCATTCTGTCCTCAGAACAATCTGGTGAGGTGGGTTAGGCTGAGAGAGAGTATCTGGCCTGAGGTCACCCAGTAAACAGGGATCTGAACGTGGGTCTCCTTGGTCCTAGTCCAACACTCTGATCATGACATCACCCTGGCTCTCTTCTTGTTATTCTACCGCTGTTCCCAGATAGGCAAGATCCTACAAGTTACTGCCAAAACACCTAAGGGAAGTGTATCTTCTTAAACCCAACCCTGAAATATAGTCTTTGAATTTTCGTTTTACTGTTGCATAGGATACACACAGGTTCAAAAACTGAACAGCTTGGGAATTTTGTCATTTTCATGCTTCTGAGACACTAACGGTGCCATTCGAAGCAGAGTTACCCCCTTCTAAGCCCACTGACTTTAAAAGACATAGAAGGATGTAACTCTGATGAGGACTCTAAACAGATTATTTGATTCTCACGCTCCTCACACACCTTTGGGCGACAGGCAATAAGTGACTTAAGTTTACTTTAGAAGGGCCAGGGATTCTGGACTTGAAAAACCAAGCCATATGTTTAGATAGTATTTTAAAATGATTCTTTGCCATGAGGTGCAGCAGGTCACAGTGTAATGTAGTTGAATCATTCACAGTAGGAAGGAAGACAGGTACATGGACCATGCCTACACATAACACGGGAACAGTAAGAGTAAGCGGTATTCCACCCTTACACATGGAAGAAAGAGATTCCAGAATGTAGGCAACCTGTTTTGTTGTTGGCTTATTTGATTTCCCCCTCTCCATTCAGTCCCAGGGCAAAAAGAGCGTCTGTATGCAAATAAGCATATAGGCATTGAATCAATTATACCTTTGGACAGATCTTCAGGGCAGCAGTTAAATAACGAGCTACAGATAGGGTAACAGCCTTATCTTTGCCAGATATCAAATATAATAAATGGTGATTGTGCGAATGTACTGGAAAGTGTGAAATCAATGGAGAAATAAAATAATATGTAATATAAGAATATAAATCATGACTGGAAAAAAATGGGTGTTTCTGTTTTTGCACTTCCACACGGGCAGCCTCTCTGTTTAATCGGACTATCTGAAAATCTGCCAAATAATTCATTAAGAGGTAAGGCGTTATGTCTGGCCAAGAATTTTTTTTGAAAAGGTGGAATAGTTAAGAATTGTAAATAATCTAGAAGCACTGGAAAAGATGGGGTGCTCAGTCCCTAGAAAGAGGATGCAGGTTCCCTTTGGCATCACTACATAATTCCCTTCATTCTAAGTTCATAGGTATCTTGTTCATAAATAAAGGGAGGTCTGAGGAAAAACTTGGGCAGGGAATCCGCAAGCTTGAGAATCTTTCATTTGTCTTTTTCCCACCCTTCAGCAACACAGTGCTTGTTTTAAAAAATACAGTCATAAAAGCAATTATTCTATCATCTGGTTGGTTTTAATTACATTTCCTACAACCAGCATAACAACCAATGCTATAACAGTATGGGAAGTAGAGTGCACATTAGAAATTAAGGAGGCCCCAGGGTTCAACCTCACACTGCAGCGCTGGGGTCAGTGGAGGCGCAGCTACAGATTGCCTGGGGAAAACAGGTGTGTTGCTCCCTTATTCATAACTCCTCTCATAAATCCTGGTGGAATACATGTTTCTTTCTAAAATGATACTATTGCCCTCTCATCCTTCAGTGATTCTGATACGATGGATTCAGAATAACTAACTAAACTACTACATCCTGGTCCTCTGTTCACAATCAATAACAAGCATTAGATGTTCATTAATGCAAAATAACTTAACGACCACCCTTTGATTTCATTAAAATGGAGGAGAATCCTCATTTCGCTTATAAAGATGCACTGAACATTTCCTTTAGCCACCTGGACCGTGAGCAGGCGATTAAGGCAAGGAGAACTAATCGGTATTAAGTAAGCCTCTGCAGGTTCTTTTAAAAAAATCGGCAAGGCTTCTGCACCTTTAACCGCTTAGCCACACGCACACAGTCAACCGGTGCGAGGTTTGGCGTCGGAGATCGGATGGAACCCGGCGAGCACCTCCTGAAATGCTGTCCTTCAGACGTTCCGCCGCCCGCCATAGGGTGGCAACTGGCAACCCCAGACGCCTCTATTCCAGAATGCCCACTTTGCACAGAAACCGAAGCCTCTCCGGGGCAGGTCCCTCTCTTCCGCAATTCCTCGTGCAACCCTTTCGCGCGCCGGATTAAGGAGTACAGCGCCGAGCACAAGGCTGAGGCGCTCCGGCGCAACAGAAGTCAATCAGCTACGAGCTCTGTCCGCCTTCTTTTGCGGGAAGCGAGCCTGACTCCGCCGGCCGCCGCCCCCCCCTCCCCCCCCGGTTACCTGGATGGTTTGGCCCGCGGGGGAGGCCGCGGGGCCCCCGACTAGCTTGCAGTAGAGCTCCAGGCGTGGCCTCCGGCTCTCGTCCTGGCCGCAGGTGGCCGTGGCCCAAATGTGGGCTGTCTCCGCCAGGTTGAAGTAGGGCGGGTAGAGGCTGAGCCCCGGCTCCTCGGGGTAGCCCGGCAGAGCCACCTGAGCGCTCCCGGGGCAGCAGCAGAGTGCCAGGACGATGCCCGCCATCGCCGCGCCCGGAGGCGTCAAGGCAGCGACGGGGGCTGCCCGGCGGCTCTTGGCCATTCTCCCCCCAGCGCGCAGGAGGCGAGCCGTGGCCGCGGCAGAGTCCCCAACGCCGGGCGCAGGTAGTCAGGCAACAGGCGATCGGGCCCCTCGGCTTCTCTTGCCCGCCTTTGTTTTCCTTCTTCTGCCGCTTGGCCCGAAGGGCACCGCAAAGGAGTGGAGAGAGGCGGTGGCGAAGAAGGCGAAGACACCCCCTGCTGCTCGGCCGCCAACCTCGCAGGAGCCAGCCAGAAGCGCAAAAAAACTGTACGCGGCGGGCGGGAAAACGTTCCACAGCCGCCGGAGTGTGGAGTGAGCGAGGGGCGCTGATCTCGAGGGGACTCACAGTAAGTGTGCAGACTCTGAGAGGCTGGAGCCTAGCCAGGTGCCTCTCTCCTGGGTCTCCTGTTGAGCCGATAAAGAGATCCTGCGGCCAGACTTACGTCCACGTGTGGACCTCGTGGTCTACACGATGGGGAGGGGGGTGGAGGAGGAGGCTGAGAAAAGCTAGCACCGGCTGCAGGTTCCAGAAAAGTAAAGGTAAAGGTTCCCTTGCTCGAAAGCCAGTCGAGTCCACTCTAGGGTTGCAGTGCTCATCTCCGTTTCAAAGCCGAAGAGCCAGCGCTGTCCGAAGATGCACAGAATGCTGTTACCTTCCCACCAAAGTGGTACCTATTTATCAGCTTGCAATTTCTTGCTTTCGAACTGTTAGGTTGGCAGGAGCTGGAACTAGAGAGGGGAGCTCACTCCATCATGCGGCAGCTCAGGGTCTCGAACTGCTGAACTACTGACCTTCCACAGCCTGCAGTTCAACGTCTTAACCACTTGAGCCACCGCAGCTCTTTTTTTCAGAAGAGTACTCCATCTTTTTGTGTTATACCTTTGAGGATGCCAGTCAGAGCGACTGGCAAAACGTCCGGTTCTACAATGCCAAGACCACGGCCACACAACCCAAAACCTACAGCAATTAACGAACTCCTGCAGTGAAAGCCTTGACAACAGGATAGGAATGTTTTAAATAAAAATAAATCAATACATTGGGTCTTCCAGCACTATTTGTGAAGCATAAATGAATGCTTGTAACAAAGAACAGAATAAGGCTCTTGGTCACAAATGATTTTACATTAAAGACCAGCTTCAGGCTTATGAAAATGTTGATCAAAACTGGTCAGCATTGCATGTCCAGGATGTTACTGTGATAAAGAACAGCAGAGTAAAACACTGAATGTTAGATGAAGACATTATGTTTCAATAAACCTGGAAAAACTGATTTAAGAGCCCATGACAATGGTCTTATGCCTGAAAAACAAATTCCCTCCACAGGTATGCAATCCTGAGCAGACGTACACCCTTCTAAACCCATTGAAGAAGAGTGTAACTGTTTAGAATTGCACTGTAAACCACCTCACTGAGTCAGATCATTAATCTACAACTGGCAGCAGCAGTATTTGACACTACCTAATCTTTTTAACTGGAGATGCTCGAGTTTGACCTGGGACTTCCTGCATGCAAAGCAGATGCCCTACCACTGAGCCACAGCCCTTTTCCATGAGAACAGCAGTTGACACTACACAGTAATATAAACAATCAGCCAAAGAAGTGTATTGTGGAGAAAATGTCTTATTTGTGAGAAACAGTTTCCTATCTATAAAACGGAAAGGATAGGAACCCACAAGGACTTGCAGGGGACATATAATTTCTCCTTCCTATACGATTTCCTCTCTCTTCCCTGAAAGCCCCCCTAGCCTCTCTCCTTTTCCTGCTTCCTTCTCTCCTTCCCACCCAACAACCTATTGGGATATTTGGTTAATATAGCAGAGTTTTGACCAGTCAAAGAAGTGTGATACTGAGTGCAGTAAATAAATCTCCCATACTGCAAAAAAGGTAAACTTACATGTATTCAAGTAGATCCGGTTCACATTCAGGTTGCAGTCAAAAGGAGAATTCCCTACCATAGATGGCCAGCTTGTCCAGTATCATGTGTGTGGGAGTATGAGTGCATTGTCTCTACAGTCCTACAGAAACCTGTGTCTCTATGGAAGACCATGTGCAGTAAGTGAAAGAACAAAGCGAGAGAGGAGGATCAGAGGGCAGCTCCTAAGTTAAGACAAAGAGAGGAATCCCATTCAAGGAGATAACACCTATACACACTTAGAGTGATGTAGCGCCCTCCAGTGTCCAGGCATGCTGAGTCACTCTCCAACACAACCAACCTCCTTTTATCTGCCTCTCTGTCTTCAGCCTTCCCTCGGAGCAGTCCCTATCTAGGAAAATTATAGACAGTAGCAGGGGTTGTTTCGTAGAAAAAGAGCTAGGGGAACTCATTAGCATAACTCATTAGCATATGCCACACCCCCTGACATCAGGGGCCCGGCGGTGGACCTGCAAGGCCGGCGGGAGTGCGAGGAAGCCCTGCCAAGGCCCTCCCTGGCCCCAGGCAGGCAGGGGTGGGGAGAGGCGGGGAGGAAGCAACTTACCCTCCCTCTTCTCCTGCCTCCTCCTGGCTGAATGAGGGCTGGAAGTGGGGCGGCCGGAAGCAGGGGGCAGGGCTTCATCGTGTGCCCCGCCCCCGCACCTCACCCGGGGGAACTGTGTTCCCCCCCGAAATGACCTCTGGACAGTAGTGTCCTGTTGGCTGCTGGGCCAGGCCCACTTGCATGGTAGGGAGCCCTGAAGGACTTGGCGAAGCACGTCACTTTCCCCTGTATCCCCCTCCCCACATTATTTCCCCTTTCCTATCTCCTGGCAACCCCCATATCCTCTCTCCATTCCCTGCTTCTCTCTTTCCCACCCACCAATCTGTCTTTTATCCACATCCCATCTTCAGCTATATTTATTATTTATTTACTTTGGTTATACCCCACCTTTCTCCACAAAGCAGCTTATATTATTCTCCTCTCCTCCTTTTTATCCTCACAACAATCCTGTAAGATAGGTCAGGCTGAAAGTGTATGGCTAGCATAACATCACATTGTGAGCTTCCATGGCAGACTGGTGATTTGAACCCAGGTCGCCCAGACCCTACTATGAAGCTCTAACTGCTGTATCACACTGGCTTTAATAGGGTGGCTGCTGTTGAAAAGCAGCAAGCAGTCAGGCCTAGGTGAGTCATGCAGTTGGGTGGTATCAAGTCACCAAATTGTTGCTGCCACACATGGCCCCAACATATCCTCCCCCAAAGGCCAAAACAGCCCTGGAAAGGGCTCTACCCCCTCCTCCTGCTTTGTACTGACAAAAATCAGGCCTTGAATGCTGTCATTGCCTTGTAACTGCAACTGTGGTCTTCAGTTTTTAAAAGCTACAGACATTCCTTTTATTGTTTTGGGTTTTTTAACCCCCCAACGTTGTTGTTGTTTTAAGTTTCTGGTTTTTCTGCAAACCTGGGACACTTTTTAGGTCTGTAGAGAGATCTGCCAGTTCATAGCTCCGGTGATGTCAGGGGTTGTGGCCTTATGACACACTTCCGGTGATGGCAGGGGGTGTGGCATATGCTAATAAGTTGTGCTAATGAGTTCCCCAGCTCTTTTTCTACTAAACGACCCCTGATTTACCTGATATTGCTCTGATGAAGAAGAGTTGGATTTATACCCCACCTTTCACTTAAAGTCTCAGAGTGGCTTACAATCTCCTTCCCTTCCTCTCCCCACAACAGACACCCTGTGAGATAGGTAGGGCTGAGAGAGCTCTGAGAGAACTGCTCTTGAGAGAATAGCTCTGAGAGAACGGTGACTGACTCAAGGTCACCCAGCTGGCTGCATGTAGAGGAGTGGGGGATCAAACCTGGTTCTCCAGATTAGAGTCTGCCACTCTTAACCACTACACCAAACTGGCTCTGGCCCAATGTATTGAACAGGAAGGAACACAGGCTATGGAAAGTGTGGGGCATGTACCCATGCCACAAACCCTATTTTTAGGAAGGGAATCTGAAGAATTGAACCAAATTGAGGTGACCAGAGATGAAGTTCTAGACCTACTGGGGAAATTAAAAACCAGTAAGTTTCCAGGTCCTGATGGCATACACTCAAGAATTCTTAAGGAACTCAAATGTGAGATGGTTGATATACTAACCTGTATATGTAACCTGTCACTAAATTCTTCTGCTGTACCAGAAGACTGGAGAGTAGCAAATATGACACCAATTTTTAAAAAGGGATCCAGAGGGGAACCAGGAAATTACAGGCCAGTCAACCTAACATCTGTCACAGGCAAATGAATAGAAACTGTAATCAAAGATAGAATGGTTAGGCACATAGAGGGACAATGGGAAGTCCTGCCTCACCAACCTTTTGAAGTTCTTTGAGAAAGTGAACAAGCACATAGACAACAGTGACCCCAGAGATGTTATATACCTGGACTTTCAAATGGCTTTTGACAAGGCCTCACGAATGACTCCTGAGTAAATTTAGCAAGCATGGGATAAGAGGACGTGTACTGCTATGGATTAAAAAGTGGCTAAATGACAGGAAGCAAAGAGTAGGAATCAATGGACAGTTCTCACAAGGGAGGGAAGTAAGCAGTGGGGTCCCACAAGGATTGGTATTGGGGCCAGTACTATTTAATTGATTCATCAGTGTTCTGGGACTAGGGGTGAACAGTATAGTGATCAGGTTTGCAGATGACACCAAATTATTCAGGACGGTGAAAACCAAGGTGAATTGCGAAGAGTTCCAAGAGGACCTCCACAAACTGGGTGCGTGGGCGACAATGTGGCAAATGAAGTTCAATGTTGGTAAGTTTAAAGTGATGCAAACCGGGACAAAAAAAATCCCAACTTCAAGTATAGGCCAAAGGGGTTTGAACTTGCTGAGACTGAGAAGGGAAAAGATCTTGAGGACATAGTGGATAGCTCAATGAAAGTACGAACCCAGTGTGCTGCAGCAGTGAAAAATGCAAACTCGTTTTTAGGAATTATTAGGAAAGGGACTGAGAATAAAACAGCTAACATTGTAATGCTCCTGTATATA